AAATTGCCAAAGTGTTAGAACTAGAAGTTAAAAGATCAATGAGAAAAAATGAGCTAAAAAGCGTATTAACGAAATACTAGTCGATGATGAGTTGTTTCCTGTGGAAGCATTAGAGGAATACTATAGTGTCCCTTCTTGCCCAAACCATGGAATGGCCACCGAAAAATGGTCATTATTATTATAAAGTGTATTAACTGGTAAAGCACAATAAGCTTATGCTGCTCTCTCTTCAGAAGATTGTATGAATTATGATAAGGTAAAAGCAGCTATTCTCAAAGCATACGAATTAGTACTAGAGGCTTATTGCCGAAAGTTTTGAGTTTATTGCACACAAGGTAATCAAACTTATATGGAATTTTTCCATGAAAAAAGAGGTTTATTTTGATCGATGGTGTAATTCTATGCATATTGGCAACTGTTTCGACAAACTAAGACAATTATGTCTAATTAAGGAATTTAAGCATTGTGCACGGGATGACCTCAAAACTTACTTAGATGAAAAGAAAGTTGAAACACTACAGGAAACAGCCGGTATTTCCGATGACTACACTTTAACACATAAAACCACTTTTCATAAAAAGAAATTCCTACCATCTCAACAAAAATTTGTATTGGTTCAATCCACTAAAGTTGAGGATTCTTCTAAAATATCCTGTAGTTCGACATCTTTTGACAGTCAGGATAAAACAATCAAGGCCTGTCTGCCATTTTTGAAAAAAACTGGTCATGTTATGTTCGATTGTTGGTGTTTGAAAAATAAAAAAGAAAAGGAGGCAATACCCAGTGCGTTTGTGTCCACATATAGACGTAGTTTCACAAGATCACCTGATGTTGTTGATTTGGCCATTAATATAAAGGCTGTTTTAGTCAGGGAGGAATTTAGACAATTTGTGTCTGTTGGTTCTGTGTCTTTGACAAATGACACTGGCCATCCCATTCTCATACATTTCCTACGTGATATCGGGGTGACCCAATCATTGTTGTTAGAAGGTATATTGCCTTTAGATTCGAGTTCTGCCACTGGTGAGTCTGTTATCGCTCAGGGTATTGATGGTGGCTTCGTTAATGTACTTCTTCATAACATTTATTTAACATCAGACCTAGTTTTGGGAACAGTTGTGGTTAGAGTAAGACCTACTCTGCCAATTAAGGGTGTATCATTGTTGTTGGGAAACAATTTTGCTGGGGGAAAAATTGTTGCCGAACCTAAAATGTTTAACGAGCCGATCACTGTTTCATCTAAGGATGATGTTGTAGTTGAGGAGAATCCCAATGTGTTTCCCTCTTGTGCTGTGACTCGAGCTCATGCTAAGAAATTAAGCCTAAAATGGTTAACGAGCCAATCACTGTTTCATCTAAGGATGATGTTGTAGTTGAGGAGAATCCCAATGTGTTTCCCTCGTGTGATGTGACTCGAGCTCATGCTAAGAAATTAAGCCAAAAACAAATGATAGATTTATCTCAGACATTGTTTGGATACGACGAGGATCTTGTGGATAATTGTCTTACTGATGATTCCTCTATGAGGAACAACAATGGACATGAGGGATCTGATTCACCTGGTGAAGTTCCATTTACTAAAAGTAAACTGATCGCTGAGCAACAAAAGAATCCACATATCTCTTCATTATTTAAATATGCACTCCCAAAAGATGAACTGCAGAAAGTTTCAAATGGTTATTTTTTCAAGAATGGTGTGCTTATGAGGAAATGGAGACCACCATATGTGCCAGCTTCTGAGGACTGGACTATTGTTTATCAAATCGTTGTTCCGAAGGCATATCATTCTGAAATAGCAAAAGTTACCCATGAACTCCCCATGGGAAGTCATTTAGGTGTCAACAAGACACGTGACAAAATTATAAGACATTTTGTGGGCCAAAAATTAGGCAAAACTTTCTCAGTTTTGCAAAACTTGTCATACCTGTCTGATAGTCAGACTCCTTGTTACTCCTTACCCTAATTCTGCATTCCAGTTCGTCACAAAGATGTTCCGTTGGGTTGAGGTCAGGTCTATGTGCTGGCCACTGCAATGTTTCGATGTAATTCTCTTCAAACCACGCATTCACAATCATTCCTTTGTGACATGGAGCGTTATCATGTTGGAAGGTGTACAATAAAATTGCCACAATGTAGGACACACACAATTGTTAAGAACATCAATTGAATATTTTTGAGGAAATTTTACAATTGTTTCAGGATTTTTGTTAGTTGAAAAGAGTTTAAGAATAAAATTATTACAGTTTTTTTAGTTTAAGAGAACATATACATGTAGAAAAGGCGTAAATAGGACGACTGTATTGCGAAATGAGGCCGAGAACTAGAAAGTTCAGTTAGAGAGGTTAGTGGTATACGAAGTTAGGTAAAGGCATCGCCTAGCAATGAAATAAGTGCACGAGCATCAGTGACAGGTTGATGGATTCCTAACTCTAACTCGTGAGGACTAGGAAAGCTACAAATAAGTCGTAGTTAACAAGCAAAAGTGGTACTTTGATGCTAGATCGCTCACAAGACAAGGGTGTAGTAGGACAAGTAGATAGACAACCGGTTAACTCAACATAACAGTAACCAATTACTTGAGAGTTTTGGTTCTGGTTCTGGGTTAGCCCAGGAATTCCCTTAGATCAACCAATAAAGTGGCAGGACTACTTGCGGGTAGTGCTGGATACTATTTGGAAGGTCGAGAGAAATTATGGTTTGAAAACCCCTGTCTGGAGCTGAAAAATAAGTTTCTCCAGAAGTCAGTTCGGCTCTGAGAAGTTCGTGACCATGGCTATGAAAGTTTCTAGCATCTGCAAATTTACCCGTCCAGTTCTGTTGTGAGTGTAATGGTTTCTCTCTTAATCAGTTAGTGTAAGTAATCTTAAGGGAATAGTATGTTTAACTAAGAGAAGTATCTATGTGTATTAATGGAAAGTCTAGATTAACAATATTGAAAGTGTATAACGATTAACGGTATGTTAAAAGTGTTTAACGATTAATATGATTTATATTGAATGTTAATTGAAAATGAGTAATAAATGTTATTGTCATTGATCAATGATGGTCTGGGACTCTGATTCTTTATTCTAACCGTAAATTACTTCGAGTTAGCGACTTCTGAGCTCCTCTCGTCACGACAAAATCCTCCAATAAATAAATTTGACGTGACTAGCAGTTTTAATTGGAACTCCAACAATTAAGCCCACGAGGGCGCTGCCTGTTACACATGCATTACGACCAGTGGACCTAGCCCATACACGAGAAGCACCGCTAGACCATAATACTGCCACCTCCAAACTTCACTGTTGGGACAAAACAATCAGGTAATAAATGTTCTCCAGGTGTCTTCCATATCCAAACATGTCTATCAGACTGGAATAGCGTGTAGCGTGACTCTTTGCTCCATAGAACTGATTAACATTGATCCACGGTCCAGGTTCTGTGTGACTTGCCCCATGCAAATCGGCAGTGTGCATTTGTTTTTGATATCAATGGCTTGTGGGCATGCAGCGCTCGACGTATCGTGGAAACATTTGTAGGATTGCCTGTGATTATTCGCATCTACAAACACAATTTCTCTACAGTCTGATGGCAAGATGAGGTAACCAGCCTTCTCAAGGCTCCTATCAGTCAGTATTTTACGCCTACCTGGTTATTTCTTGGGGCCATTGTCACCTCATTTTTAGCACGTTGCCAACTGTCGATATTGTACACAATAGCACGTACAGACATTTTCCCCAAATGACTTCCAATTATCTTTCCCCTCTGAAATTCTGTTAGCTCTTTCCGTGTACTCATCATTGGGTGTACAACTACGAAATGATTTCCGAGCGAACTGGTGATCACCTTTATAAGCCAAAATATTTGTACATTTCCTCGTCACACCCATATTCCTGCAATCTGAGGTGTGTCCCCCACGACTTTGGGAGAATAGTGTATATTAAGAAAAACCATTATAATATAAAATAGTACACAGCAAAAACTAAAATGTCATTAAATTACAGAAGAAACATGGTAAAATGAAGGATTACTGGTAACTGTATCTCAGAAAATAAAACAATAATACAATGCAGAGAATAGACCATTTATGAAATATGTTAACAAAAGTAGGTTACAACAGAAATTAGAAACCGTATTAAAAATGCAATAATAGATGCATCAAAAATCCAAAGTACAACACACAATATTATGTTAAAATAAGTTGTTAACTTATTAAAATATTTATTTGCATTGATTCTTTAAACAATGAAAGCGCCCTTAAAATAAAGCTATTAGAAAAATAAAAGACAGACAATAATTGCTTACTAACGGACTGAGATGATAATATTTCAACATACAGAAACAAAAATTACAATATATGAGACTCCTTGATTACAATCATACATAAAATCATAATTTATTTTACCCTTTCACTGTAGAAACATATAAGTAGCATTATCAGTCCTTTTCCAAATACAGTTTAAGATTATAATTGATCCAATAAATACGTAATAAGATACTTGACATAATAATCAGGCGTGATAAACAAGTCAAGAGCCCTTTAAATGAAATATACTTCAATGATAAACAAAAGAAATCATCTTTTTTTTTTATATATATACACACATCAAATACACTTAGATACTAAAAACTAAAGGTATAATAGTAATAACACTTCTCACAAATCAACATTTTTACTCAACTCTCTCCTCCCAAGACAATATCATTTGTAATATTGATACATTAAAATAATTGGCATACTACAAAAAACGACAAAAATACGCGTTTCCATCTTGGGGATCCATGAAATTATAAATCCGTCAATGGATAAAATCAGGTCTTCTAGGACAGCTGTTAACCTCCTTCGACATGTTCATAAGAATTTTTGTTACCTAGACCATCTTATGTTGTGTATAAATTAGCTAACTCAGCGGACACCAGATGTCAACATTTTTATCGACAACTAATAAATAGTACATGTACTAAACCAAACCAAAGGAAGAATATCATTATGGTAAAGACAGCAAATTGTGGGTGATTTATATTAAACAGGATAACTTTTTTCTCATTGGTGCATTAATTGGTAGGGACATAAAGTATTTGCCCAAACTACTACATATAATAGAAAAAATAACTATTGTTACACCCGAGATACTCCAAATGTCTGGAATTTCTTTGAAGAAAAACAGTTGCCAACAGAAAAGAAAAATAATATGAGAGGCTGCTCGAACAATAGAAACTACACCAGCTTGTTCAAGTTGTAGCCCTTTATAGAGTAAAGCTATTCCAATTATTTCGATTAGGGAACAGAATACAATTAATAAAGATGGTTCTCCACACGGTATGACTGGAAGCTCTCCCTGTGAGAATATAATGAATAAACTAATAACTATACCAACCCACCCATAGTTAAACAATATCACTGAGCTTTGAGTACTTTTTAGCCAGCGAGTACAAATAATGTTCAAGGCACTAAATATTGTGGAACCGAAAGCTACAGATGCTCCATAAATTCGATCTGATAGAGTAAAGCGTGTTAATTCACCAGTCATCTTTAGTTCTAAAGGAAGTTTGGATACTAATGCAACTCCTACTATAATTAGTATTGCGGAAATAACCTGTAGAAATCCAAGTGGTTCTTTTAAAATTATTCTTGATAAAACAGCTACTATAACTGGATAACTGAAGATGATTACAGTAGCTTCGGCAATAGGTAAATAGTGGAATGAACTGTATCTCAGATACACTAACACTACGCTAACAACGCTTCGAATTAGTATAATTTTTCTTGTGGACTGTGGCCCAAAAGGTTGAGATTTTTTAGATAACAGAAGTGGAATACTATATACTGTGATAAAAACTGAGTTAACCCAAAGCACTTTTGCAGAACATACAGTTTTCAAATGTTTTACAATAAGAAATCCTATAGAAATGCACAGACTAGCTAATGTAGTAAATAATATGCCTTTATACAAAGATAAAAGTCTTCGTAAACCAAAAGAGTTTTTTCTTTTATCAAGAATCATCTGGAAACTTTTGTCCTCGTCAGACGAAGTAGCGTTTGAGAAATCATCTTCTACTAGTTTTGCACCTTCAGTGATACTCGTGTTGAAACTGCGTTTATTCAAACGTTTCGTACTGGTGGCCATCCTTGGTATTTGTACCTGTACCACAACTTCGCGATAATTTCTCTTTTACCTGTAAAAAATAAACTACGCGAATCGTTAATTAACAGATATTACATAGTGCAACAAAAACTTGTATGCTTATTTATTTAAGTGTTCTACTGAATAAAGTTTTGGAAGGAAATATTCAAAGATAAAATGTACAGCAGAGACTCGTGTGGAAATATTGTATTAGACTTAAACATGTTTAACTTTCATTTTCGTTAGGTTTTGGTATCAGTTGTTTTGTCTGTTTGATTTTCTCCTCAAAAGGCAGTGTATACGATACTCAGGCTTAATAGTTAGAGACCTATAGGATTCAGGTTTTGCCATTCCTAACCTTGAGGTATTAACTTTAGGAATGGCAGCTAATCAGCAGAACTTGATCACACAGGGTTCTTGGAACTGAATAATGGGAATGACTTTCAGTTTTAAAACGAAAGCACAACATAAAGTACAAAGGTGTTTAGCGATATCGAAGCACGAACTTTAGACTTGTTCAATCACTGCCGGGCACGCTAACCATAGATCATGCTCGTCCCTTGGTCGGTGCTAGAAGAATTCTTTTCATAATGTAGAATATGTATCATTATTACATTCTGTGTTTTGGCACCTGGATACATTCCTAGAATGTTGCAACTGGCATAAACATCTACTGGGTCAGGCTGCTCCACCTTATGGTTTCTATGTAATTCATGGGAACTTCATCTACCACTCACATCCCACAACTCTCCTAGGCCATTAGTAACTCAAGCCACATATGCTTTGAAACATATACTCCAGTAAATCTCTGACTTATCAGATTGCTTATCATTGCCATGATACATCTTTGTCATTTTATGATTCTCAAATCAGAGGTTGCAGAGTGGCAGTCAGAGTTTTTCCCTAGCCATTTACCTACCTCATGGTTCCGAGAATGAATTGAGAACATAGATGTATCTTTCATTTAAGCTCTTGATAAGAGAGTTTGTCTGATATTCTCTTCCACATTCTCCAATTATGGTTGCATGTGATTATGTATGTATATATATGCATGTGATTATGTATGCATTTATATATATGCATGTGATTATGTATGCATTTATATATACACC